CTGATCCTTCCTGTAGAACATTTGGTGTGAAGTGTTTAGTACCTGATCTTTCCTGTAGAGCATCTGGTGTGAAGTGTTTAGTACCTGATCCTTCCCTTAGAGCGTTTGGTGTGAAGTGTTTAGTACCTGATCTTTCCTGTAGAGCATCTGGTGTGAAGCAGTATGCTCTCGCTAGCCTCTTCAAGAGGAAACTTCACCTGGTGGCATGTCTGGCTTCCTCCTGCTCTCTAATCATACAATGAAAGATCCTTTCATAGTGTCCCTGTCCTAGAGGCAGAGAGAAAGCCTCTTTGAGGGCTGGAAGTCGAGACCCTTCAAAATGAGCTGTGCACACAGCCCTATCTCACGGTTTCCTGACTCACTGGTGTGTGTCTAGGTTTCTAGCCTTACCTTTTGCTGATAGACTTCTGCTTGATATTTTGTTGGACCTCTTCCCAGCGTGATGGCTGGTACTGATTTTTAAAACAACTTCTACATTGAAAATCAATTTCATTGGAGATTTCACCTAATATTACTAAAAAGAGGCTTCTGGGTAAATTTTCATACCTGCCTCACCTCATACCCTCTAGTAATTATTACCACATAAATCACGTGAACAAACATATTGCCAACGAGTAGAATGTTCCTGCCATAGATTCTGTCGTTACTTGAGTGATTGGTAGTGCTGATCGTGTTGATTTCCTTTCGTTTCATTATTTCTTTTGTAATGAATTACAAGTGGAATTTACATTTATTAGTATTCATAAGTCATAAAGGAATTGCCTTTTTGTTTTATTTGTTTATATTTAGATTTTAGAAATTATAAATAAGTATATTGAACTATAATGAGTTAAAGATAACTTTGTTTTAAAGATTTATTTATTTATTATGTATACAGTGTTCTGCCTGCATGTGTCCCTTCTGGCCAGAAGAGGGCACCAGATCTCATTACAGATGGTTGTGAGCCACCCGGTGGGGGCTGGGAATTGAACCTCTAGTGGGGCAGAGCAGCCAGTGCCTTAACCACTGAGCCATCTCTCCAGTCCAAAAGTTGTAACTTTTAAGCCTTGCCGTGAACTTGAGATGAGAACACATCATTTAGTTGTCTATTTATTGACTGCCTTCCTACGTGGATATTGTGGGAACCTAAGAAGGCTCACATGTGGTTCTCTGACCTCAGAGTGCTTAGTAATACACTACTGAAACAAAGTAGGGTTACCTTTGAAAACTCAGGCTGGAAGGGCTCATGTTGAGAATCTGCTAAAAAGCAAAAACTAAACGTTTTGATAAGACAATGTCTGCACACCAACCAGAAAACCATTGTAATTATATAGAGGAACAATATTTGGATTTTGAAGAAATTCAGATTGTTAGAAATCATTAAAATGGAGAAGGAATGGTTTTAAACATTAATTATTGTTTTCGGTTTAAATGTGAAGTATCCCATGTAACCAAAATGGAATTAGAGTCTCCTTACTGTAGACTTGCTTTAAAGCCAGAGTTTGAATTAAGGGTTCCTATTTTATAGGGCAAAGTCAAACCAGAAGTAGACATTTAAAGATTACTAATTTATCTGATGGTAAGCTGTAAATGCCTGGAGACATGGCAAGTAGCTGTTTACCCTGTGGATTTGTGACCTATAAATCCATAAAAGATGCCAATTTGCTTTAGAGTTCTATAAAAAGTCTGAAGTAGGATATCTTAAATTTAAGAGATAGTGACATGTTTAATTTTTAGATTAAAAATTAGTGTCTTATTTTTTTTTATTCACTTTTACCTTCATTTTCTTCTAAATATTCTGAGATGTGTGTATGCTGGCTCATGCCTGTAATCCCAGTACTTGAGAGGCTGAGGCAGGAGGATGGTCAGGGATTCAGGGCCAGCCTCAGCTGTGTAGTGAGTTCCAAGCCAGCCTGAACTGTAAAATGAGATTCTGGATCAATTAAAAATAATAATAAAACCTCTTGGGAGAATCTATGTTTTTATCATAAGTTTGCAAAACAACAATAACAACAAACAAACAAAAAGAAAAAAACTGACAAAAAGCAAAAACAATAGCACAGCCTCCAGAGAAAACGCTTTGAACTCTGTAAACTTGCTGGTTTCTAGTGATACAACTGGGGTTTCAGAGAACCTTCCCATTCTAAAGAGTAGATGGAACATCTCTGGGCTAGTCAGGTGGCTCAGTGTGTAAAGTGCCTTCTGCCAAGGTTGATCCCTGACTGTCCTGATTTCTGCAGGCACCCCCCCCCCACATGCACACAAATATGTAAATGTGTTAAGTTTTTAAAGTTCTGTTTCTGATCGTTACTACTGTTAGCCATTTTCTGATGGTTTGAGCCAACTCTGTTCTCTGTGGTCTGGTCACCCACTCAGAGGGTGTCATATCTGTAGGATGCTCCTGTCCAGCTGCTGCTCACAGAGCCCATTGTCCTGCTCACTCCCCCACCCTTAGGGACTGGGTTCACCTCCTCTTCATGCCTGTCTTTCCTGCTGTCTAGGACAGAACCTCCTTCATCCGAGTCTGCCAGCCTAGCCTGTGTATGCTAGATCTGGACCCATTAAAGTGTCTGCTTGATAACAGCTACTTAGGAACTGTTTATTTGCTTAATGTATAGCCTCTTCACATACTAAATATCCTCTCCTCTTTTGGTCTCCCTAAGCATATATACCCTGTGCTAGATGTGAGCGTGAACTCTGTTCTATTTTAGTGCAGATAGGCCTTTGGTTTCTTGGAACTGTTGGGTAGCTCTCATTACAACCCAGCATGATAGTTTTCTCCTCAGGTCTAAACTGACAGCCTACTGAGGTCACACGTCCTGTTTTCATCTTCTTCATCTGCCTCAGTAAGCTCCGCAGCATTGGACAGGATGTCAGAAACACTTGACAATGATTGTATATGTCTGCAAGGGCAAAAATTCACAATTTTGTTTAGAGATTAAGTGTGAAATAAAATGAAGGAAAATTGTGTACTTATCACTCATCCTTAGAGCTTCATTCTGCTAAGGTCAGGATTGCCTAGGGCTGAAGGTCTGTTAGAGTGCCCACAGGCACACTTCCGAAGGCTCTAGTTTTAGTATATGCCTTGTAGTGGAGCCCTTTGAAAGGTGATAGTGTGAAGGAAGCAATGGGAAAGTGACCTCTGCTTGAGGGAAGGCAGTGAGCTGTTCAAGTCCTCAGAGAAGCCCTGCGTGAGTAGGTCAGTCTGTATCGAAGTGTGCCACAGTATCTGAAATGGCTTAGGGAAAAGAATTGACTAAGTTCTATAAAAAGTCTGAAGTAGGATATGTTAAATTGGTCTTTATTTGATCTGTTCTGAAATACCTTCTTGTAACCTCTTACATCTGTAATGATAGAAATGATGCTTTGAAAAGAAGCATATTACCCTGGAATAGAGTTTTTAAGATTCATCCAGCACTGCTTGTGTGGTTCTTTGTTGGTCTCAGGCTCTCTCTCTCTCTCTCCGTGCACTCTCTAGAACAGATACGCACTGACTGCAGATACTTTCCTCTGTTTAGAACAGACAGCTCATGTCGAACTGAATTAGGTTATAGATAATCGGCCTCTTCTGAACTTGTTATTTAAGTCATTGAAACACAGCCGTCCATGAGGTAAGTGCCGTCAGTGCCCTTAGCGTACAGAAGAGGAAAACGAGACCACTGAGCATGGTTGCTCGTTTACGGCTCACTCTGTCGTGTCTGATGGATGCAGAACACTGCTGGGGTGAAGGTGTTTCTGGGTAATTAGATCTGAGGTCCTGTGGGGCAGCTTCCCTGTTCACCACACTTTGGTCTGTGGATGCACAGTGAACAGATATGGTCCAGTTTTGCAGTTTTGGCCCAGAGTTTATATAAAGCCTGGAGTTTTGAAAGTCAGCAGCCACCAAATCTATCAGCAAGTGACATAAAGCCCAGTTGGATTAACTAGTTCGGCAGCTCTCTTTGTTTAGAACAAATGCAACCAATTGACAGTTATGTTTTCTTTGAAGTTAATTGGTGTGTTGTGTGTTTAATCTTACCTAGAGAAGGACATCATGTTGAGGATGGTGGCATGGCATCCTGGCAGATTCCATGGTTGACTCAGAGTGCTGCCTATTGACTCCTAGGAGCCTTTTACTAAGCCTCGCTTGGAGTCTTAGTGTATCTCTAGAATGCAATATGAATGGACATGGCTTCTCAGTTTAAGATGAAAAGGTCTTTGCATGGGTAATGGTAACAGTTGCTCATCAGCGCCATTGAATTGTACACTGTAACAATGGTTGGAATGGTAAATTTTCTTATGTATATTTTACCACAATAAATGCAAAATATTTGAAGAGCAAACATAATTGTTTCCAAATATGTATGTGAGTTTGTTACTCTTTGTGACTTTTGTGTTGGTGTTGAATGAATGACATGGGCTAACAGAGCCTGCTATGAATTGGGCAGTTCTAGTGTAGCATTAAAGATGGATGACTCCCTGCTTTCCTGTCCTGCTTACTTGCTGTGGGACCTTAGATTATGTAGCCCTTCTGTGCCCAAGTTTCCCTGTTGTGGACTACAGACAACAGTAGTATTTATTGTTTCACGGACTTCATTATGAATAGTTAATGAGATGCTATAAAAAGTTTAAGGCAAGTGGGCTAGCACACATTTGTAATCCCCACTGGAGATGTGAAGAACAAGTATTATCCCTGACTACATAGCAAGTTCAAGGCCAGCCTGAGCTGCCTGAGACACTGTCTCAAAAGATAACATAAAAGTGCTTAACACATGATTTGTCATATAACTCAATGTGGGATGGATACCTAGGTATTACATTGCTGGTATATATGAATGCATCTGTACATTAAGCATAAATTGAACATTTTTTTCATTTTTTTTAAGGTAAAAGAAATGGGAGATTACTTTAAGCAGCACCTTTTACAGTCCAGACACAGAGGAGCATTTGAACTGGCTTACACTGGTTTCGTGAAACTCACTGATGTATTAAACAGGTAAAACAAATAGCAGTTTGTGTAGGTTTTTTTTTTTAAAGATTTATTTATTTATTTATTATATATACAGTGTTCTGCCTGCATGTGTCCCTGCACACCAGAAGAGGGCATCAGATCTCATTGTAGATGGTTGTGAGCCACCATGTGGTTGGTGGGCATTGAACTCAGGACCTCTGGAAGAGCAGCCAGTGCTCTTAACCTCTGAGTCATCTCTCCAGTCCTTGTGTAGGTTTTTTTTTTAAAGAGCAGACTCTAGACCATGTGCATGGAGTAGATGTTGTGTGTCTTTTTTCTGTTGGAAAGAGTGAGGCCTGGCTGGCTACAGAGGTCGTCAGAGGTGGCTTTCGAGGTTCACTGTGTGAGGGACTGCAGATGACTGAGGAGATAGATGTGCATCTTACACTGCTTTTTCACCAAAAGCTGATTCAAAGTGAACTCAAAGAAGTGGCTGAAATTGGGCTGAGATTACTGCTTCTTTTCATGGATGAATGAATGTTTTGTCTGTTTGAAAATTACTTGGCGTTTGGAATCAAATAATTCTGGATTTCTTTGTTTCAGGGATAAACATAAGGATTTTGTCTTTTTCTTTATAGTTTTTTTTTTATAGAAAAATCTTATAATAACAATAAAAAGACATAATTTATCTTACCTGGAAAAATATATAGATAGAGCTCATGTATTTAACCAGATGTGTATTTTTAACTTTATAGGTGCTGGAAATTTCATTCATTCATTCATAAAATTGGTTTCCTCTAAATGGCTTTTAAGAAAACCTTCAGTTACTTAATGACTAAGTGTTTGTGGCAAACATTCTCTAAATAAAAGGTGGTATTTTCCAAGAAAACATTTCCATTGCCTGGAAACTTTGAAGTGAAGCAGCATTCTGCCAGTCTGGTAGCTTCAGCAAACATTTTATTGTGGGCTGCTGAGAGATCTACATCTTGATTATTTGTGAAACTTTTCCTCCCACTGCTGGTAAAAACATTTCTAAAGTGTCTTGTTAGTTAGAGGTTGCACAGAGTATCTTTAAGTGATACTTTTAAAAATGTTCCTGATGTTGAACATTTTATTTTATTTTTAATTGTATGTGTGCGTGTGTCTGTCTGTCTGTCTGTGAGTGAGTCTGTGGACAGGCGTGCAGGTGCCTGTGGAGACTAGAGAGGGACTTTGAATTCCCTCAGTCTGGAGTGGCAGGTGGTTAGGAACCACTCGATACATGTTCTAGGAACCAAATTCTGGTCCCCTATAAGAACAGTAAGATCTCTTAGATGCTGAGCCATCGTTGAGATCTGTAAAGTGCTAACCTTGAAAATATTTTTTATCTTTTCTGGGCCCGAGAGATGGCTCAATGGTTAAGAGCAGTGGCTGTTCTTCCAGAGGCCCTGAGTTCAATTCCCAGCAACCATGTGGTGTCTCACAACCATCTGTAATGGAATCTGATGCTGTCTTCTGGCGTGCTGGCATACATGCAGACAGAACTCATATACACACATAAATATATCCTAAAAAAAAAATACTTTATCTTTTTAATTCTTTGTTTCTATTGTAGACATGATATGAGTATTCTTTCCTCATAGTGCAACCTATATCATCCCTTCAAATCAGTTAATGTTAGCTGTGTGCTTTGCGTTGTGCTTGGCTTAGAGAATGTAATACTTCACCATGCAATGATTTCTATTACTAAAGCGCTTGGGAGGTATGAGGACAGTCTGGCTCCAGCATTGTTCCCCCATTGATGGACAGGACTAATTCAGCTATTCTGTCTGACTGGACAGTGTCTATGCCCTCCTTAATGGTTCTGTCATGTCCTTCTTGAAGCTGCATCCTCACTTCAAGGGATGACCTTCTTTCTTTCAGAGTATAGGATATATGTGTCCTTTGTTATAGCCTCCAGACAAGAGCTGCTGGATTAGTTTAGGAAATAAGCAAGGGTAAAATTCAGATTATTAACAGGAAGTATGTTAATAATCTCTACACTGGTTATAAGCACTCAGCATCACAGTGGACGTGTGTTAGCTAGCTCAATACCAGCTAAGAAGGGAAGATCTGTGTATGCAAACAGGACAGACTGCCAAATACTGTATGAACTTGATAAATCTTACAAGGACTCCAGAGAGAAGCAGCAAGGAAGTGTTGTTAGCTCTTTGTGGAGGAGTGAACTTGTGAGCATGCGTGAGTGAGGTCCAAGGACATAGAGGATAAAGGAGGAAAGATGAGCAAATGCAGAGCTTAGGTTCAGATGACGAATCGTTAGGCAGACTCTTCCTTAGTGGTGCTGTTACTGAGCAGGAGGGTTAGATCAAGTTGTTCTGTTCTGTGCAACTGGATTGGCTGTGCGAGGAAGGGGAGAGGCGCTGTGGGCTTTTTATCCAAACACAGCAGTCTGGGATTCAAGCTCCTAGTCCTGTGCACATCCATCCCACTGACTGACAGACTGTAAAGTTAACCTCCTTAGCCTCTGGTCTCTTCGTCTCTGAAGAACAGTGTTTATTCTACTGGCAGATCTTTGACTTTTGTTGTATAGAGAAAATGTATTATTTTTGAAAATTCTTTTGCAATATGTATTTTCCAACAGATGTAAAATATTGTGAGAGTGATGTTTGTCTGTAGGTAGTGTGCAGTGTAGTGGTCTTTGGCTGAAAACATTTGGTTCAATAGATTTTAATGACTGTTAGAAAGAACCCAGATTCAGTTTTGCCAATCTAAGTCTGGGGTGATGAGTGCTTCCTCCTGGATGATGGCCCTGAGATTGACAGAGATAGGGTAGCTAGAAGGCTGGACCTAGTTGGCATATAAACTAACGACATGACTGCGGGAGCTGTGGGTAGTGAGAGGAGCTGGTGAGCTGGAGAGAGTTCAGAGCCCAAGACGGGGTGAGAAGAAGGTCTAGGATGCTAGCATGGACTTTGAAATGTATAACAACTTGTATAACTTGTGAGCAGAGACTGGGTGAACCTGGAGGCTAGCATGGACTTGATATGCTGATGGGCACCACAGGTATATGTTAATTGGAGAGTCATATGTTCCTTTTGCTAGGGGTAAGGGAAATGACTCCTTTTTGGCAGATAAGAGCCAGTTTCGTAAGTTTCTGAGGAATCCTGGTTTTTATCTAATAGCCAGAAGTTCTCCTACGGTCCAGGTTGAGCTCATTTCTGAATGTTTGGACTGCCTTTTTATGGGAGTCTACTTTCCCTCTCAGCCTGTCGGCCATCAATTTGAGAGGAGAAAGAGGCAGAAAGGGCGACAGAAAGCTTTGTAGGCAGCCTCTGAGGATGAACGGAGACATCCCTCTGGGAGACAGATTTCGGTGAATCAGTTCAACTTTATTCCAGAATATAAGGAACGTATAGGGTTTGGGAGCCTGGAGACAAACCCTACTTTGCATTAAGCGGCACACTCCTATCACAAGGCTTAGGATGTGGCAGCAGGGTCCTATAGCAGAGCCCCTAGCCCGAGTCTGCTTAGCAGGGATCTGTGCCAAGGGTCAAGCTAAAGATGAATTGGGCATCTGGTTTAGAGACAGCGTTTAGGTAAGGCCAGTCCTATAGGCCCAGGGACATTCTCCAGATAAGGGCAGGTAGAGAGCAGGAAGGCTTGCTGGGGAGGAAGGGGTTTCCATATTGTCAAGCTTAGAGAAAGCTGCCAGGCTATGGCAGACTGCGACCTCTAACCAGCCAGCAGTGTATTCCCCTTTGGAGTTCGGGGAATTGGAGTTTACTTTGGACCTGACAGTTGGGACCACAAATGGCCTCTTAGGAAGCATGGCAGTTTTGAGGTAGCTGAACTTCTTACGTAGCAGCAAGCTCCAGGCAGAAGCTATATGGTTTTTCTCGCCTAGTAGCCTGGCAAGTGTCATAGTGTTGCTTCAGTCATGTTCTTCAGGTTATAAACAGTCTTTAGGACAGACTAGATGTAGTCTACTTTGTGGTGGCACTGTGGCATTGAGTACAAGTGATAGAGGTTACCAGGGGATCTGTGATGACTCCCTGGTTTTCGGTCCTAGTGATCCGAAAAATGGGATTGATGTTATCAAAGCCAGAGGAACTTTTGTTTGTTTGATAAAGATGAGTAGTTTAGTTTGCCTGTATTGAGTGTGAGAAAATGATGGACTGTCATGGTTGGAGTAGAGGTATGGTGAAGGTAAGGTAAGTAAGGTAGCTGAAACAGACATAGATCTGGGAATTGTTTCCCTAATCATTACTGTTGATAGGATTGAAATCTTCAGGGAAGAGCAGGGATGGACAGAGCACAGAACCAAGGACAGAGGCTTGGTGTGAGGCCGAGCATGAAATCAAGTGCCACATCTTCGTGTGAATTTCAGAACTGCTGTGTAACAGTGCAGTAGAAACCATTCCCAAGAGGTGGAATGGGAGATGAGGGAAGGCCTAGTGCCAGCCACTCCTAGTCGGTTTTAAAGATCCCCTCACGGCTGTCACTGTTGGCTCACACCCATGTTAGGTGTTCTCATCTGGTACCTCTGAGCACAGTGGTTTGCCATCCCCTTGGGGACATTTCATACCTGACTGTTTGCCAGAATATCTCTGTCTGTGTGTCAATTCTGTTAGTTAGGTTGGTTTTTATTTTTAAAAGAAAATCTGTTTCCTTTGGCCTTTTTTAGGGGGAAGGGTTAGTAAGGACTTAAGTGATGAAAAACTTGTTTAGGCATACAGCATTTAAGAAGTTTGCAAGAAAGAAATCTGGGCATCATGAAGACCCATAGAAGTCCAGGCCAGCTGCTGGCTCGCTCGGCCTACAGCTGTGTCGAGGAAGAAGGCACTTGAAGTGATTAATGGACAAAGAACTGAAGAGTTAAACACGAGCTGCATGCTTTAAGTTGGTTTTTAACAGGGTTATTTAAAATGTCTCCAAGTATAAACTGACTTCACTATTAAACAATTATCTGAGGATAAACAAGGATGGGGGAGATACTAGTCCCTTTTTCTGGGAAATTTTTTAAAAATAATATTTATATGTATAACACAAACAAATGTGGAGTTAAT